AGAATATGGAGGTGGGACGTCCTGGAAAATGTCTAGACTCTTGTTTGACTACATCAGAAGCCTAAAACGAAGAGATCCAGTTCGGATGTTAAAGATTTTGCCAAATCTATTGAAGCGTTTCATGAATCCTATCCTATCTTCTGCAGCTTTTTGATCGCTTGAAAAACGATATTAGAAATAATCATTAGCGACACGAACCAGCCGGGCTGATGCGATTATGCGTTTTTGCGCTATTTCGCGCTGTAATAAGATTGCTCGGATCCCCCAGTAGCTAGAATTTGCGACATACCGGTCCTCGAAGTTCAGGAAGTTCGTTACGCAGTAATATGTTTTGTCAGTTGTCGCTGTCGGCTTCAGTGACCGAAAAAAAGAAAGTTGGTGGTACGCGAAAAAGGCCCATGAGGAGTATCAGTCACCTTTTGTAAGCACTACTTTTGCTATAGCAGAAGAGAATATCGCTAGCATTATGTTATAAGGGAAATTCACATAATCATGGGAAGCGTATCCGTAGGTGAGACCCGAGCGGTTCTAAGGAGCTGAATTTGAAACCTTTTGGTCGCACATGAGTAGGGAATAATCCCCTAAACTTCCAGCTTTCTAACTTTCCTCGTTTCCGCGTTAGCGATTTTCTCGCCTATGTTTTCACGTGCCCGTACATGAGATGTAGACCTGCGTAATAGCTGATATCGCGCTGCTGGGATCGCATTTGACCAGGTGGCACAATTGCAAAATTTCAACATGAAAGCTTGCGTAGTTGCTGAATAGAAATACCCGGACAGGTGAATATACACGCACAAAAATACACACAGGGTCGCTGCAATAAGCGTTTTCGCTGCCTTTTGCAGCGTATAACACCGCAATTCGAAAATGTATGAATAATTAATTGGCTAGCGCACTAAATGCCGGTGCGAGGATGCGCTTTTTGTATAGTTTTCCGCAGTTTTTGTTGCTAACAGCACTATTCGTCCCGACAGATACTTCTAGCTAAAAGAATTAAGACTGGCCACCAGGGCTGTCAGAAAATATCCCCTTAAAATTTCAGCTTTCAAGCTTTTCTAGTCCTCGAATTAGCAACTTATTCGCCAAGAAATTTCACAAGCAGAACTGCAAGCACCTGGGGACTGAATATGAAGTCATTAAATTGTAAACGGACGGGAAACATCCTCATAAAATTTCAGTCTTCTGGCTTCTTTGGTTCCCAAGTTAGCAATTTATCCGCAAAAAATTTTCATGAGCGAGTACGTGGGAACCACACACGCCTGGGAGTTGGGTTTGAACTCATTAACATTTATGTGGACGAGGAGTATCCCCTTAAAATTCCAGCTTTCTAGCTTTTCTAGCTTTCGAATTAGCAGCTTACTCGCCAGAAACTTTGACGGACACGTGCGTGAGAAATACGTGGTCAAGAGCACCCATTTTGAGAATTGGAGCTAGTACATGCTTGTAGATTAAGTCCCCAAAGTTCCAGCCTTGCAATTTTTGCAGATAAAAAAATTGGTACAGACGAACACACACACACACACACGCACAACCGGACAATCCCTCGATAGAATGCGTTTAGGTGCAAAAACGCGTAAAAACGAATCAGAAGCAAATGGCCTTCCACTGACCGACGGTAACAGTTACTGCTGTTTCCAGCTTCTGATGACCGTTGCTTGCTAGGCATTTATAATCACCACTGTGCTCT